GGGGCAGAAGTTCAACCTCCTTACCCCGATGACTCCCGGCACCGCGACAAGTGGAAACCACAGCGACGGTGTGTGGTATGTTCTGTGCTCAACAGTTGGGGTCTCCACGGTGACAGACTGTACTCACATCATCTGCTGTAGGTTTGAACTACGGTGACACTCCACATATGTTATGGTTGGATGGTGATGTGGGTACATGGAGATATCAGTAAAAGCCCCCAGCCCCCCAACCCCCATCCTCCTCCTCACCCCCCTCTCCCCTCTCTGAGGCAGAGAGCACCCACACGAAAATCCCAGAGATAGATTGTTGGAATGGAATGCGCTCTCTCTCTCTCTCTCCCTGGAGGGACGCATCCCACTTATCTAATTCCGGAAAGTATTGGGCGCAGGTTGGCAAGAGCCAAGGCTTGGAGGGAGCCCAGAGTGTGCGTCGGGGTAACTGTTGGGAGTCTAACCAAATAAAACCGCGCCTTGGGACATCCTCCCGATGTGAAAGGCGCTATACAAATGTAATTTTGTTGTTGTAAAACCACATCTCTTGCCATTGATATTGCAATCTAGCAAACTTTCCTGATTGCTTGTCCGGCTAGGACCTCCTTATCCGTTAGGGCTTTGGCCTGGAGGGTTAACATGAGCTGAGTGGGATTATTCCCTGCCCCTAGTGACTGGTCTGGTCTGTTCTTCCAAGTCCTGCCAATGAGCCAGGCTGGCTGGGCTGGGCTGTCATCAATAGTGCCCTGGAATACTGTGGACCCACCGGGCTCGGACCGTCACAGTGGGCTGACTTGATTCCGAGATTCCGTTGCTAAACACATCACTCCGGAGCCAGTTCAGCTCCTCAGAGACCCCGATTACAACCCCCTCCCCTCCCCCCACCCCCGAACGAGTGTTCCAATCGCAAAGAAGAGTAACCATTTCAATGAATGTTCCACAAAATGGACATCACTTTCACATACTTAAAAATAAAACAACCGACACCCACACCTTGGTTTGGGGCAGTGCCAGTTATCTTGACAGGTTGACGTTTTCTTTTATCCCCCAACACACCCCTTAAAACAACACCATTCCACCCCGCTGCGACACACCCTTCCGTTCTCTTATCAAAAAAGGGACAAAGGTTGAGCTGTGGCAAAGGAGCTCACCTTCCAGTTATCTGAAACTGGAACTAGGAGTCGCAAGCACAGTGGTTAAGTTTACAGACGACACCAAGCTAATGGAGGCGGTAGATTGCGAAGCTGAACTGGATAGGTTACAGGAAGATTTGAACATACTTGGGAATTGGGCAAATCGGTGGCAGATGAAATTCAATGTGGAGAAATGTAAAGTACTTCACATGGGGACAAAAAATCCTGGAAGGGACTATTGAATGGAAGGAAAATAATATGTATGGAAAATGAAAAGAACCCGAGGGTTCTGATTAACAATAAATTGAAGCTCTACCAATAATGATCCGTGTCAGTGAGTAAAGCAAACCAGATGTTGGGGTGTATCAAAAGATCAATAGCAGCCAAAATAGTGGGGTAATCCCACCGCTGTATAAATCATTGGTGAGACCAGTACTGTGTACAGTTCTGCAATACAAAGGATATTGGAGAAATCAAGATACAGAGGAGGGCAACCAAAATGATTGAGGGAATGGAGGGCCTGGACTATGAAGAGCGACTATGTAAATTGGGCTCACACTGGGAAAGGGAAGATTGAGAGACGACATGATTGCTGTCTATAAAATTCTAAAGGGCCACAACAATATAGATCATTGCAGACTGTTCCAACTTGTCCAGAAGAGTAAAACCAGAGGACACACGGCCTGCGATTGAAGGGGTAAATTCAGAACAAATCTACACAAACACTATCTCAGAGAATAGTGAACCTGTGGAACAGGCTCCCGAGGGAGACGGCTGAAGCAGGAAATGTTGATTTTTTCAAACGCAGAATAAATCGTTTTCTTTTGTGAAATAACATTACGGGATTATAGTACATAGGGAATTTGGGGCATATGTGCAGGAGACCGCCAGGAAGGTGGAAGGCGATCGAGATGGGCCTTGGTTGTTTTTCGTCTAGCGTTTCTCATGTTCTTATGAAACAGGAATTGGTATGAGATGAGATGATATAAGCGATCATCTCCTTATCTTATAATACATAATTATAAATTATATAAGATATTATAAAGATATTATAAAACATAGCACCTTATCACGTCTTAAGAGTCGTCTTAAAGCGCTTCACAGATTATACTGTAAAGTGAATTGACTGTATATTTCTGGGCGAAACGCGGCAGCCAATTGCGCACAGCAATGTCCCACAAACAGTCGTGGATTGAGTGACCAAATTATTTTTTTTTATATAAGATATTATATTGAAATGCGACCTGGTATGAAATACAGCGATAGAGTTGATCACCTTATCTTATATAATTATATAATTACAAATTATATATTATAAGGGCCTTAGGCGAATTACAAAATGTCTTCCTAAAATACCACACTAATTATAATGATATGTAACAATCCTTGCATTATGATATTAGCGCCTTGGGATGTCCTCCTGACGTGAGAGGCGCTCTACAAATGTAATTGATAAAGCACCTTATCACATTGTTGAGATGTCTCAAAGCGCTTCACAGGATATACTGTAAAGTGGAATGACTGTGCAATTTGTGGGTGAAACAAGGGAGCCAATTGCCCACAGCAAGTGACCCACAAAATGCACCGTTACTACACTTTACAGTATATTCTGTGAAGCACTTTGAGACGTCTCGACGTCGTGATAAGGCGCTGTATCAAATGCAAGGATTATTGTCCAATATGTTGTTATTACAAACAGTCGGTGATTGAGTGACCAAATTATTATTTTTGAAATAAACTATCTTTCTCTTAAGCTAAAACTTAGAAAAGCACCACTTAAATCACCAGCCTATCATTTGCACTTCCCACAGAAAACCCTGTTTATTGGCATTTCAAAGTGAAAACGTCAATTTGCTGCTAATTTGTGCTGAACTGTGTGAAGATATGAGATCTTGTCCACACCCACAAGGAAATGGATTTAGACTTCACACTTCACGCTCTCTCACGTCAGTCTGGGTTTGAGTAAAGCATAATTTAAAATGCAGTCAGTCATTCCCCAGAGAGTTGAAAGGGCACAGGGGTGACTCATTGGACCATTCAGCCCCTTCATAAATAATACATTTAAGTTTTTGTTGGGGGGGAAAGAAAAGTAGTTATATTTCTGCTATAAATGCATAAAAAGAAGAGATGTCAAATTGTTGTATCTAATTGACTATTAACCTGTGAGAGGCACGTCATAGTCTTTCAGTTACAATAATATCATTATTAATAATAATAATATTTGCTAAGACTTTTCAGAGCAGGAAAGCTGGCCAGACGGTGCTATCAGTAGCAAGCTCTGTGGTTTTAGCTGGCTAGACTCCAAGTTACCCCAATGCACACTCTGGACTTTCCCCCAAACCTCGGCTCTTGCGCCTAATACTTTCCAGAATTAGGTAATCAGGATGTGGCCCTCCGGGGGGTGGGGTGGGGGAGAGAAGGAGAGAGAGAGAGCGCATTCCATTCCAACCATCTATCTCTGAAATCTCCCAAGTGTAGCCGGGAATTCTCAGCTTGGTTTGGATTCTCTTAAGCGACGGTGATGGGTTACAGCATGTGTCAGACACCCGGCTGACAAATATCAGTATCAATGGCAAGCCACGAGCCAGAGACGAGACCGAAACCGACAGAGGCGAGCAGTGAAATGGCCAATGTACTCCCCTACAAACCAAAATACACAGTCTCTACACTTCACAGCAAAATTCTGTCAAGATCCTTTGAGACGTCTCGAATCCGGGATAGGGCACTATACAACACAATGCAAAATTACATTTGTATAGAGTCTCATCACATCTTCGAGACAATCTCAAAACATTTCACTACAGTATAAACTTCCTGTTCCTCATCAGATGAGGCCCTGTTAAAAAACACACACCTCAATTTCACAGCTGGGAGTGCATGTGTGGCTCGGTCGATGGTCCTAACTGGACAAGCAGCAGGAACGCTTACCAGACCGCGCTCTTGATGGCAAATTATATGTTTTTTTACGGTTAAATCATCGTATCTGGGTTCTTTCTGTAAAATATAGATCAGCTCTTAACAAGTCAACAGACCATACTTCCCTGTGAAGCGCTGAGCCATTTTTGAGGTTACACTTGCTTATAAAAATACAATGACTATTATTATTATTATTAGGGTTTGGTCAGCGCTCGTCGTGACTCTGGATCTTAAGTTAGGGTCACGCTGTCCTGTGTAAGGTGAATGCTCCCTAACCTCAGGCAAGTTTCATTACTCCACATACCTGTCTCCCTAGCCATAAACAGGGACCTGGTTGTTCGTCAATTGGTGGATTGCTTTCCGTTGGGTAATAATCCCTCAAAAAAAATGAGTCACTCAATCCACAATTTGTCGGTCACTGCTGTGCGCAATTGGCTGCCCCAAAAGTACACAGTCACTCCACCCTTTACAATATATTCTGTGAAGCGCTTTGAGACATCTCAACATTGTATAAAACGCTATATCAAATGCAAGGATTATTATTATTATTATTGTGCTGCCGCATTTGCCTGCAAAATACACAGTCACTCCATTCCACTGTAAATCCTATGAAGCGCTTTGAGACAACCTCTGGATATGAATGATAAGCCGATGTACCGAAATGCAACGATTATTAACATTCTTAATTATTATTCCAGTAAACCTTCCAACTCCGAAGGGTGAATCAATAACCCCTCTAACTAAAACCCTTTCCCGCTCGCTAACCAAATAAGAACATAAGGATTTGCCGGGCCAGAGAAGATCAAGGTCCATCCAATTTTGCCATCCTGGCAGTCGCTTGACATGTCGTGACCCAAACTACAGACTGTATCCCAAGATATTATTTCCTAACAGAAAATCTAGTTTGTTCTGGGATGAATCGGCACACAGAAAATAACCCAATATAGCGGTGTTACCTACCCCAATCCGGCAAGCCTGGTCGTTCAGAGCCTTGATCCATGATGCTTGCCAGTTGTCCCTGAAGGACTTGAAGGCAAACAGGGAAGTGAGGAGACGTTTCAGCCCTGGCTCCGAGACGTTTTCTTGGCGCAAGAGAGAGGTCCAGCTGCCCAGGTTGGGAGGAAGGTGATGATGATCTCCTCTTTGCTCGGATCGCCGAAATATCCCCAGCGAATATTGCAGCAGCCAAGTCAGAACAGTTATAACCGAAGCCACGAACAGCAGCAATAAAGCGATCCAGGCCATATGGTGGAAACCAGTCAGGGAATCAGAGCTCCCAAACACACCCCAAGGCACAACCATAGTCAACTAACAGCCCTTTGGCTCACACATCAACGCCAAACAAAAATACATCCAACTTCCCCTCAACACCCAACCCTCGATCAGCCCACTTTAAATATATATATAAAGGTATAAATATATTTAAAGTGATAAATATGGTTCAGGTTAGCCCTCAGCTACACGTACTAGGAGGGGTGTTACAGCGTTCTATATTTAATATATATATTAAACGAAAACTTGTAAATTTGTCAGGAATATATATATTATATATATATATGAAAAAACTTAAATCATTGGATCTCGTCTCTCGCTGTCTCTCTCTCTCTCTCTCTCTCTACATCTTGTCTTCCAGCATTAGGGGAGGGGAGAGAAATATATTTAGATTTTTTTTGAGAGGGAAGAATATTTTTTTTGGAACAAAATTCCTTTCTGCCCCTCTCCTGTCTGTGTCGCTCTCCCGTCTCTCTCTCTCTTTCTTCCCTCCTTCCTTTCCTTGGGTTTTTTCTTGCAAAAAAAAAAGATAAATCCTGCTTTTTGGGTGATGAGCTCCACTCTCCTGTCTCCCCCCTCTCTCTCTCTCCTCTGCTTTCCCTCTCGCGCTCTCTGTCTATCTCTCTTCCCTGCTTTCGTTTTAAAAAATATATGATAAAAAAAATGTGTCAACTACTGCAGCAAAGACTCCGCGGAGAGGATGGATCCATTATATTTCCTCTCTCTCTCTTCTCCTCTCTTCTGTTCTCTCTCAAAGCCACACATCACTCGCAGTCCCACAGTCTCTCTGAGGCTGAAACCATGAACCCAGAAATACAGCAGCAAAAAAGGCTTCAGGGGGACAGAGATACCCCGTCCATTTCACACAGACACAGACAGACACACAGACAGGGAGACAGACAGGGAGACACAGACAGACAGTCAGAGACACAGACAGAGAGACACAGACAGACAGGGAGACAGACAGTCAGAGACACAGACAGACAGGGAGACAGACAGGGAGACACAGACAGACAGGGAGACAGAGACAGACAGGGAGACAGACAGGGAGACACAGACAGAGACACAGACAGAGAGACACAGACAGACAGGGAGACAGACAGTCAGAGACACAGACAGACAGGGAGACAGAGACACAGACAAAGAGACAGACAGACAGGGAGACAGAGTCAGAGTCACAGACAGACAGGGAGAGACAGAGAGACACAGACAGTCAGAGTCACAGACAGACAGAGAGACACAGGCAGTCAAGAGTCACAGACAGACAGGGAGACAGACAGTCAGAGACAGGCACAGGGAGACAAGACAGAGAGCCAGAGACACAGACAGAGAGACACGGACACACAGTCAGAGACACAGACACACGGACAGACAGACAGTCAGACACACAGTCAGACAGACAGACAGACGGTGTCGGGAGCGGCTGTTGGTCACAGTGTTGCCCTCTCGGTATCTCTCGGGATTTCTCGCCTCTGTATCGCTGAGTCGCTGCAGTGAACCCTCTGCGCTGCTCTCGTGGCTCGAAATCGTTGTGGGAGGGAATGGTCTTTATATTACTATCACTCCCTCAACACACACCGCCTCCACCTCCTCGGGGGCTACAGAGGATAGAGATAGACACAGAGAGGGGGGGAGGGGGAGGGGGGAGAGAGGGGGGAGAGGGAGAGAGAGAGGGGGGAGGGGGAGAGGGGGAGGGGGGGGGAGAGGGGGAGAGAGAGGGGGGGAGGGGGAGAGAGAGGGGGGGGAGGGGGAGAGGGGGAGAGGGGGAGGGGAGGGGGAGGGAGAGGGGGAGAGGAGGGGGGAGAGGGAGGGGGGAGAGGGAGAGAGGGGGGAGGGGAGGGAGAGGGAGAGAGGGGGGAGAGGGGGAGAGGGGGAGAGGGGGGGAGAGGGAGAGAGGGGGAGAGAGAGGGGGGAGAGAGAGGGGGGAGAGGGGAGAGAGAGAGGGGGGAGAGGGGAGGGGAGAGGGAGAGAGGGGGAGAGAGAGAGGGGAGAGGGAGAGGGAGAGAGAGAGGGGGGAGAGAGGAGAGGGGGGAGAGAGAGAGAGGGAGGGGGAGAGAGAGGGGGGAGAGAGAGGGGGGGAGAGAGGGGAGGAGAGGGGGAGAGAGAGAGAGGGGGGAGAGAGAGAGGGGGGGAGAGAGAGAGAGGGAGAGAGAGAGAGGGGGGGAGAGAGAGAGAGAGATAAAGGAGTAGAGATGGAGAGTGGAGGATACGGTATATGTCCTCTCTCTCTCTCTCACTCACTCTCTCTGGAGTGAAAGGGAAAGAGTTAAAAGATCTCAAAATGGCAAATTCTGGTCCATGTCCTGTGTGACTCCGGTTTGCAGCCAACGAGTGCGATGGGGCCCAGGACTCGCAGCGCAGAAACCCGACCAGAAACACTGCAGCCAAATGGCAGCCGAGAGATATTGCAACAACAACACAAGACTCGGCTCAGCTCAGAGCGAAACACACACACAATTCAGCTCACTTTACTCCCATCAACTCCCCCCCACCCACCGCCCCGCACCGCACTCTCGCTTTCTCTCTTTCTCTCCCCCTTCTTCTCCCTCGGTCGAAAAATGTACAGAGTGACCACAAAAAAGTCTTGTATGTCTGCTCCGTTACCTTACGAAAAGACTATCCCCCATCGCCAAGCTTATCGTCGCTTCTTTTCGGCAAACATCCCGCAGGTGCAGACCCCGGCAATCCGGAATAGCACGGCCGGGGAAACACGTCAGCAGCCGGTCAGGCAGCATCTATGGAGAGCTCGCTTTCCTCTTGCCGTGGAGGCTGCCCGGCTCGCTGCGCGTTCCCCGGCGAGCTCCGAGCTCCGCTTTGACTCACTCCGTTGTCTCTTCACGACTTATCGGATAGACATTGTGATGGTATCGCTGAGGGAGACATCATTTGCGAGATGCCCCCTCCCCCCCCTAATCTGAAGCCACGGAGGTTAAATAAGACACAGAATTTCAGCCCCTCCCCCCCCCCCCCCCCGCCGCCCCCAAGCCAGCTGTATTCTGTCGATTTCTTAGTTATGATAATAATAATACCCCACAGATCTATGGCAGTCTCACCCAAACTAAATAATAATAATTTAATCACTCAATCCACGACTGTTTGTGGGACGCTGCTGTGTGCAACTGGTTGCCGCGTTTCGTCCACAAAACACACGGTCACTTCACTTTACAGTATAGTTACTGTGCAACATATCCAACGACGTGACAAGGCGCTATATCAAATGCAAGGATTATTATTATTATTATTATTATAAAGGGCTTAGGTTATGTCCGTGCAGCCGCCTGTGCCCAAGGATCGCTAAGAGGTTTGTCAACACACAGCACTTACTTGCTATCAACACGATGCACTTACACGTATGCAGTTTCACCCACAAAATACACAGTCAGCCCACTTCACAGTATGTACTGATTTTAAATCTTATTAATTAGTCCTATTAGCCTTATTTAATTCAACTATCACAAGACGCTACGCTGTAGCCTTCCTGTTATTTATTATGAAAGCAGCCTTTACAAGCGACGCAGCAGGTAACAAGACAAGTTCTGCTGCCGTTTTCAACAATTATCCTCCGATCTGAGGATTGAATGCAGACTCGCTTGTCGTTTCCTTCTCTCAAAGTGCTTCACATGATGTTCCCTCCGACACGCTAATGGGTCATGTTTTTCCTGCAGATTTCATCACCACAGGGGCAGGCAGACTTCGTGACCCAAACTACAGACTGTATCCCAAGATATTATTTCCTAACAGAAAATCTAGTTTGTTCTGGGATGAATCGGCACACAGAAAATAACCCAATATAGCGGTGTTACCTACCCCAATCCGGCAAGCCTGGTCGTTCAGAGCCTTGATCCATGATGCTTGCCAGTTGTCCCTGAAGGACTTGAAGGCAAACAGGGAAGTGAGGAGACGTTTCAGCCCTGGCTCCGAGACGTTTTCTTGGCGCAAGAGAGAGGTCCAGCTGCCCAGGTTGGGAGGAAGGGTGATGATCTCCTCTTTGCTCGGATCGCCGAAATATCCCCAGCGAATATTGCAGCAGCCAAGTCAGAACAGTTATAACCGAAGCCACGAACAGCAGCAATAAAGCGATCCAGGCCATATGGTGGAAACCAGTCAGGGAATCAGAGCTCCAAACACACCCCAAGGCACAACCATAGTCAACTAACAGCCCTTTGGCTCACACATCAACGCCAACAAAAATACATCCAACTTCCCCTCAACACCCAACCCTCGATCAGCCCACTTTAAATATATATATAAAGGTATAAATATATTTAAAGTGATAAATATGGTTCAGGTTAGCCCTCAGCTACACGTACTAGGAGGGGTGTTACAGCGTTCTATATTTAATATATATATTAAACGAAAACTTGTAAATTTGTCAGGAATATATATATTATATATATATATGAAAAAAACTTAAATCATTGGATCTCGTCTCTCGCTGTCTCTCTCTCTCTCTCTCTCTCTACATCTTGTCTTCCAGCATTAGGGGAGGGAGAGAAATATATTTTAGATTTTTTTTGAGAGGGAAGAATATTTTTTTTGGAACAAAATTCCTTTCTGCCCCTCTCCTGTCTGTGTCGCTCTCCCGTCTCTCTCTCTTTCTTCCCTCCTTCCTTTCTTGGGTTTTTTCTTGCAAAAAAAAAAGATAAATCCTGCTTTTTGGGTGATGAGCTCCACTCTCCTGTCTCCCCCCTCTCTCTCTCTCTCTCCTCTGCTTTCCCTCTCGCGCTCTCTGTCTATCTCTCTTCCCTGCTTTCGTTTTAAAAAATATATGATAAAAAAAATGTGTCAACTACTGCAGCAAAGACTCCGGGAGAGGATGGATCCATTATATTTCCTTCTCTCTCTTCTCCTCTCTTCTGTTCTCTCTCAAAGCCACACATCACTCGCAGTCCCACAGTCTCTCTGAGGCTGAAACCATGAACCCAGAAATACAGCAGCAAAAAAGGCTTCAGGGGGACAGAGATACCCCGTCCATTTCACACAGACACAGACAGGGAGACAGACAGGGAGACACAGACAGACAGGGAGACAGACAGGGAGACAGACAGGGAGACACAGACAGACAGTCAGAGACACAGACAGACAGGGAGACAGAGACACAGACAGAGAGACACAGACAGACAGGGAGACAGACAGTCAGAGACACAGACAGACAGGGAGACAGACAGTCAGAGACACAGACAGACAGGGAGACAGACAGGGAGACAAAGAGAACAGACAGACAGGGGAGACAGAGTCAGAGTCACAGACAGACAG